ATTGATTTTCGAAACGAGCGCAGTAAACATGACGGCGACAAATTTTTCGTCTAAAATGTGACAAAAATCGGGTGGAACAACCACAAAAAAATAAAGTAAAAACTAGCAAAAAACCGAATCCAACAGCCGCCATATGGACAACATGTGCATGCAACTGCAGAAATTGTTGTTAATTCATTCATTAAGTGTCCAAAGAGACTCGACCACCAAACGAAAACCAAATCAAATGAGTCTCTAAAAAAGAAACAAAAGGCTTTGTTTTAGGAGGACAAAGAGGGGCTTAAAAGATCCTAGGGTTTTGTTATAAAAAATATTCATTAAAAGCTTTAAATTGACAGGAATTGAAGGGGTTTACCTGCATATTAAAGTTTCCTATGACCCACATATTTTGGGTATTTTGAAAGACTTTCTTGACAAGATTTCCACTCCTATAATCTCCCTTGAAACCTAATTAGAGTTCAGAAATATATATAGATCGTGTGACCTCTTTGTGGCTTGAAACGTCCCTGTTAACCGTCCGGTCTCATCCATTCAGTCTGTTTGAATCTCTTGGCTCAATTCATTCATTCAATGAACCAACCACGCGCCCTGTGACTGCATTTGGTAGCTAATTTGCATAGTTTTTCAGACCGGTGCTCTTTATATATATATACATATATATATTGCGTTGGCGTTACGGATCGGAACCTTAAGGCCTGGGAAAGTGTTGCGGCCTGCCAAAGATGATGATGATGATGATGATGATGATAGTGGTAGTGGCAACGTAGATGATGACACTGTGGGAAACCTTAGCAAATGTGGGCTGCTGCCACTAATGAGCTTGTAGTGTCAGCGGAAAAATATAAAAATATGTCTCTGTGGAGAAGTTGGTCTAAAAATACTATCTTCTTGGGAGTATTGCATATATTTTATAAAGTTTCCAGGAACTTGGGATGTGTGTCAGTGGTTATTAATAATAATACCAGAGATTTTTAGGATTTTTGAGTAATTTAAAACAAAGTTTAATAACTTAAGAGGCTTGAATGAGGTCTTTTAAACATCTAGAACTAGAAATCTGGTACAAAACACACATGGGGTCCTTATAAATAGGAAAATGTAGAGCCTGGCTTGTATTCTAATTCCCAAATAAGTCTATAATGATTGAATGAATGATTTAAATGGGATACTAATTAGTAAAAAGTGTCTGGCTTTTGAAACAGCTCAACCTCCAAGCCTAAAGTTTGTCTTAGTTGGATTTTGGCATCTTAAATATATAAAACCCTCATTAATTAACTTTTCTCACAAAGATTTCAACAAATTTTTAAAATATTTCTTCCCTAAACATTGCTATTTTAACAATTATTAGTTCAATACCATTTTTTTAGCTTATTTTAGTAAGCAAAACATGGACAAAAGTGAGGAGCAAAACTCAACTCAAGTAGCAAACATTGAAAATGGTTTTTCTTGAAAATAGAAAATTGCTGAACAAACAGAACGCAAACGACTCGAAGAGGGAATCGAATGTCGGAATGGTTTTGGTTATGGAATCAAATAGCCATATGTGCCGGCTTATATATATATATCTCATATTTATATTGTTTTGTACACTTTATCCGCGCTTCCGTTGCAACATTTCCGCAGCTGAAGTAAGCAAAAAAAGAACAGAAACTAAATGAAATTAAATTAAATGAAGCAAAATGTTGGGATTATCTAATTCCCATTACTCAATTAATTCATTCATTTAAGGTGTGTGAAATTGATTAGGTTGCGTTGCCTCGAAAAAAAGAAATATATATATTTACTAAATTGGAATTTGAGTTGTCATATCCGCTGCGGATGACCATATATACACCATCGCCGGAATATATATATAGATAGTATCTGCGTTTCTGCATGCGTATCTATATGGTATATAGAGCGGCCAGTATTTTTAGTTGGGTGTTCAATCTTCTCGAGACTGGGGGGCAGACGACACACACACACACACAGCGAGTGAAATGGTTACACAGTGCGTGTTCCTCTGTTGGCTGAGCGCCCGCCATTTGGCTACTTTTTGCATGAATCATCATCCTCATCCACAGCCTCATCCTCATCCACAGCCTCATCCTCAGCCTCATCCTCATCATCTCGGTGTGCCTCTTGCTGCATATTTTTTAGTTGCATTTACAAAAATACGCATTTTATGTTTACGGCCAGACAGACAACGAGACCGATCACGAGCAGGAGAAGCCAGAGGAGCCAGAGGAGCAGCACCAGGAGGAGAGGAGGAGCATCTCCCCGGCTGCATCCCCGACTCCTCACGCACTCATAATTCCCATCAAAAATAGTTTTTTGGTTTTACAACTTTGTCGCCGGCTACGAAATTCAATTTGCAAAATATATCGAAAAGTAGCCGCCGCCAGACAAAAATCTGGCAAATTTTCCAAACTGCGTACTAGTTTTTCCTCTTTTCCTCTTTCTCTTTATTTTTTAAAATTTTTGTTTATCGTTGGACTATACGAGCTGTTAGAAATATCCCGCCATGGGCAGAAATAAATAATGTGTACATAAATTGCAAAAGCTCACCTATTAAAAGGTTATCTCTCCCTCTATGTGGCTAAGACGGTCCGAGAAAAAAGAAATATTCATTTGGCTAATTGTCTAAACAAACACAGTGCGAAATTATGTCTGGGATCTTTCTTTTCCTTTGGGGAGGGGAATTTTCTCTAGGTTTTCGTTTTAATATTGGTTAATTTTGTTATTTTTCTGTTTATCTATTTAGACATGTTGCATTGGGTGTATTTGTGTGTTCTATTATAAAAAGATTGCAATAAAGCCATTACAAAATAATAGTAAAAGTAGTAAGCTGATTTTAAAAAATATTGTATAAAAATTACAGAATTTTGTCATTAATTTAGAATTCTTTGTACAGAAACAAAACAACGAAATTCTGCTTGAATCATTCATAAATGAATATCTTTGAATATCTCTTCAAACTTTAAGTTTGTAACTCGATTAGGCGTTCAAAAGAAGGAATTACCAGTCTCATGAATTAGATTTCTATACCTTAAATATAATTCATCTGTTTGAAAATCAAAGCTCTTAATAAATCTTTTGATTTTTAGTTAATATAACTAAATAGTTTTTCTTAACACTTTTGGCAAAACAAAACATAATCACTTAAGGCAACAGAAACTAAACAACACCTACAACTAAATAAATTCCTAAATGCAATGAAATATCTCATACAAGTTCTATAAATTCCCTAAGCAATCCTTTTACTACCCTTTTAAGAACAATAAGAAATTGCAATAAATAAAGAAGACGACTTAAAATATTTAACAACAAGAAGATGCTAACTTTGCAAGCCTAATTTTGTTTACTCTTGTAGTTTGCTATTAAACTATAAGATCGGATGGAAAATCGAGCATAACTAAGCCAAAAATGCATTAATTTTAATTCGGAAAGCTGTATTGTGTTAGTTTTGAATAGCATAATAAATCTGCATACTAAATTTAACATTTAATAAAATTAAAATTTTTATCATTTTTATACCCTTGCAGGGTATTATAATTTCAGTCAGAAGTTTGCAACGCAGTGAAGGAGGCACCTCCGACTATATAAAGTATATATATTCTTGATCAGGATCAACAGCCGAGTCGATCTAGCCATGTCCGTCTGTCCGTCTGTCCGTCTGTCCGTTTCTACGCAAACTAGTCTCTCAGTTTTGAAGCTATCTGAATGAAACTTTGTAGTTAGCCTTCTATATACTCTCACTCGTATATATGTCGGAACGGGCCGGATCGGACGACTATATCATATAGCTGCCATAGGAATGATCGGAAAATTTTTACAAAAAAAATTTTAACTTTTTCAGTTCTCTATAGAATTGGATCAAATTTAAGATATAGCCATTAAATATTATTCTACAATTTTGCGTAAAATTTTATGAAAATCGGACGACTATATCATATAGCTCCCATAGGAACGATCGAGAAATTAATTCAATTAAAAAGTATAACATTTTCAGTTTTCAACAGATTTTCATCAAATTTGAGATATAGCCGTTTCATATTATTCTACAATTTTGTGTAAAATTTTATGAAAATCGGACTAATATATCATATAGCTCCCATAGGAACGATCGAGAAATTTGAGAGGAATGAGAATGGCGGTGGCTGTTGTCGGAAGACTGACAATCGCGGTGGCGATAACATTTTTAGTTTTCAACAGAATTTAATCAAATTTGAGATATAGCCATTTCATATTATTCTAAAATTTTGTGTAAAATTTTATGAAAATCAAACGACTATATCATATAGGTGCCATACAAACGATCGTTTGATGTAGAAGAAAAATACAAATCTGTGAATATAAAGCTGCAAATATAATATGTATAGGTGAATGAAATAAAAGCAGGTATTACTTCATTGTTTTTAAAAACACATATATATATAATTTATATGGTATGGATTTCTAGTCATAGAATTTCTATCTGCAAGGGTATTTAAACTTCGGCGGGCCGAAGTTAGCTTCCTTTCTTGTTTTTTTTAATTTTGACGAAAAAAGATCATAAAATGTTAGAAAAAATTTTTTCAAATTTTTTTTCTTCCCAACATGGCTAGATCGATTCGTTTATTAATGCTGATCAAGAATATATATGATTTATAGGGTCGGAAATGATTCCTTTTAAAGTTACAAACATTTGAATGAAATTATAATATCTTGAAAGGGTTAATATATACAGTACACAAAGAATCCCTTTTTCGTTAGAAAAAGTTTTAAAATATAGAAACCAAATAAAAAATACAAGCGAATCCTTATCCAAGTTCTCAATTTAAAGATAAACCATACAAAAGAAGGAATTATTATACAAGGTATTGTAATTATTATAATATAATCAATGCATTTTTGTATTAGTTATAATAGATTTTAAATCCAATCCCCTGATCCAATTTCAAACTGCAAAAGTATACAAACTTCAACTTTCCTAAGTTAACTTCCCGTCTGTTCATTCTAAAATATTATTTCTTAGGACTTACCGGAATTTTAGATGTTCGCAGGAATTCTAGGAGAGCCTCCAACGAGCCCAGCGTTGAGGCCTGAACGTAGACGCCCGACGGGGCCAATTTAATGTGACTAAGTGCGCTCTTCAGTTCCCGGGCAACTTCATCTCTGTGAAACATAACGAAAAACAATTTAAAAACAATGATCTACAAAATTTTCACTAATAAAAGATAAACGCACATGCAGATCTCCACTTCATCCGGTTTGTGTGCAATCAGGAGATTAATGCCAGCAATGGCCTTCTCCAGATCCTTGGCAGCAATCTTCACGCCCTGCGCCGCCTTCACCTCCTTGTACTCCACGTAGGCGTTCTTCACGCGCAACTCCTTCATGGGCTGGGGCATCAGAAGCGAACGAATCTGGGTGACAATGGGACCATCTGTGCCAGCCACAACCATGGTCTGGCCTTCGCGCAGCTTGCCATTAATAAGGATCGCATCAATGGTTGTGCCCAGGCCGGGCAGCGCCTTCACCTCCAAGACAGTGGCCTGCAGCTCCTCGGAGTACATTAGACGCTTGGCCAGCATGTTCTGGCAGAAGTCGGTGATCATGAACAGCAGATTGCCCATGCCCTCGCCCGTAATGGCACTGGTCGGGACCAACGAGATGTATGTCTTGGGATCCGGGTTCTCGTAGAAGAGAGCGGCGTTCAAACCCTGCTCGGCAAATTGTAGAGTTACCTCCTTGGTGCGCTGCTGGAACTCCAGTTGCGTGTTGCTCTGCTGCTCCTTGAGCACATCCCTCACATCCCGCCTGCCCAGCTGCTTCCAGTCGTACAAACGATCGATTTTGTTGAGGGCCACAATGAACGGACACTTCTTCTTCTTGAGCAGCTGGATGGATTCGAGAGTTTGAGGCTCCAGGCCGTGCATAATGTCCACCACCAGGATGGCAATGTCACAGAGGGAGGAGCCACGGTTCCTCAAGTTACTGAAGGACTCGTGGCCAGGTGTGTCGATGATCAGGAGACCCGGCAATTTATGCTGGAATCCAACGGCTGACTTCACGTACTTGGTCTGCTCCTTGATCGCATCGATGGGCACATTGGTGGCTCCAATTTGCTGGGTAATTCCACCGGCCTCCGAATCCTGAACGTGCGTTCGCCGCAGCTTGTCCAGAATCTTGGTCTTGCCCGTGTCTACGTGTCCAAGGACACACACAACGCCCGCTCTCAATTCATCGGTTGTGCGCTTCTTCTCCGCCTCTGCCTGACGTTTTAGGATTCGTGCTTCGGCACGGAGTCTTCGGGATTCCGGATCGTTGGCTAGGGCGGTGTCTTTTTCCTCGGACTCATCACTGTCCTCGTCCGAATCATCGCTATCATCATCATCTCCGCTATCATCTTCATCGGTGTCATCATTATCATTCGCATCCTCGGCAGCATCGGCCTTGCCATTGTTGTTGGTGGTGGTGGCCTGCGAAGATTCCTCTTCGCCTTCGGGCTCCGCCTCGCTATCAGTGGCATCCCAGCTCTCCTTGACAGCCTCCTCCTCGGCTTTCTTGGCAGCGGCTGCAGCAGCCGCAGCGGCTTGGGCTTCGGCCTCTGCTGCCTTGGCCTCCTCCGCCTCGGCTGCCTCGTCTTTCGGTTCCTTCTTCTTGTTCGGACGGATGCGGGTTCCTGGGGAAATATAAATTCAAGATTAAGAACCGAAAAATAAGAAACATCAGTCAGTTTACCCGGACGCGGAGCTCTCTTCTCATTGGGATCGGGAATCTCTAGGCCCTGGGCCTTCAGGGAATCCAGTAAGGCCTGAGCCCTTGCGCGATCCTCCTTCTGCTTCTTGGTGAGCAGTTTTCCCTCGGCCTTTAAGCGAGCCTTTCTCTCAGCTTCGCGCTGCTTCTTTTTCTCCTTCTTTTCCGCCTCCAGACGCACTGCCTCAAGACGAGCCTCCTCACGCTCATCCTCCCGACGAATGCGCTCTTCTTCCTCGCGCTGCAGACGCTCCTCCTCCTCCTTGCGTTTCTTGAGCTGTTCCTGCATGGCGGCCACCATGGCAGCGGACATACCCTTCTTCTTGGTATCCTTCTTCTCGTCCTCTGGCTCGGCCTTCTTGTCCTTCTTACCCTTCTTGGCCTTGTTCTTGCCGGCCTTTTCCTCCTCTTCGGCAGCATCGGCGGGTTGGACCTCATCGACAGCTTCGGGTTGGACTTCGGGAGCCGGTGGCGCCTTCTCCGCCGGCTTGGGCTTGGGCTCCGTGGCGGCCTTCTGCTTGGCCAGAGCAGCCTCTCGCTTTTGGCGCTCCTTTTTCTCCTTCTTTTTCTGGGCCGCTGACTTTACAGTGCTGCCGCCATCCTCATCTTCGTTGTCCTCGTCGGCAGCGTCGTCCTCTTCGGCGGCCGCCTTGGCCTGTGCCTGCTGCTTCTTGTTCTTTTTCTTCTTGGAGAACTCTTCGTCGGCCAGATCCTCGGGCGAGACCACAGTGGTGGCAGTGGTGGTCGCCTCACCGGCATACTCGGCCTGCAGCTCGGCTAAGACCTTGTCCAGATCCTCCTCATCGTCGTCCTTGCCCTTTCGCTTAGCCTTCTTGCCCTTCTTTTCGTTTGCATTATTAGGCTTCTTCTGGGGCTTGACCGGCATCGGTTCATCATCCTCCTCCGGCTCGCTGGCCGCTGCAGCAGACGGTTCGTCCTGGTCGTCGTCGTCCATCAGCAGCTCAAAGGCGGACTTCTTCGAGGCCTTGCCTTTGGGGGCCACCGTCTCCTCATCGTCGTCAGAGGTAGCCTTGCCCTTACCCTTCACTTTGAGCTTCTTGACAGCCTTGGTCAGCGTCTGGACATCCTCGCCACCGCTGTCCTCGTTGCGGGATTGGGACTTTTGCTTGCCCTTGGCCGGCTGGTTCTTCTTGTTGTTCAGGTTCACTTCGCTGTCCACGTCGGAGCTGGAGTGAAGGCACAGGCAAGTTTAGAAAGTTGCCAAGCTGGCATGGGGAACTCATTGGGTACTCACATTTCGTCCGCAGAGGAACCGCCTTCGACCTTGGTCAGTATCTCTTTCTTGCCCTTTTTAGCTTTAACCATCTTCCCGGCTGGGACTGCAACACGCTCCTCCGCTGGCCTCCAAAGACGAAAAGCCGTAGGTTATTCACTGCTGAAAGTTCCGCACACGCGACGCTTCTGCAGCCAAAAGAAAACTCTCGTGGAAAACGCGCTTTTCCGTTCGCTGCTCTTATTGCTTGGCTGCCCCAACGCTGCTCCTCGACACGGCGGCTACTGTTGGGCAATCGTTTGTCGCTGAATTGGCAATATGTTTGCCAATTTTCGCTGGAATTTAATCAAATTTCTGCACACAAACACTGCGTACCGGAGTGGTTGGTTTTGTTTTTTTTTTGTTTTGCATTGAGGTTATGTGCATCATATGTTGTTGTCGCGCGGCCAGAGTTGCCACGGCGCGGGCGCTAGTTGTCTGGGGTGGACCATTTATCGACGTAACTGTGGTATTTTTTAATTGTCATTTATTCATTAGATGTGCGTCTCTGTTGTTAATTCGCGTGTCGCTGGGCTTTAATTTATTTCAGACAAGTTTTTAACATATTCTTAAAGTTTTTTGGTAATAGGATTTCCATAGGAGTAACTTATCATGTGTCGCAGTCGATTCGTGACGTCTTGCTTCTTAATTTATATGGGATAGATTTTAAACATACTATTAAAGGTTTTTGGCAATAGGATTTTCATTGAGTATTGAATTGAACTAATAATTGCTAGGACAGACTGGCCTTGACATCTGTGTGCATTTAACAGATTTTAAAAGGCACTTTATTTGTTATTTTTGTATGCCAAACATTTTTTACACAGTATTAGCTAAGGCTACTTAGTTCTTGCTTACCCGGTAACCATTATGTTGATATATACAATTTGAAGCGGTTTAATTATTAATTTAGCTTAAATATTTGTTATTTATAACAGTTTATAACAGTATTGTTTGTAATTATCCCAAAATCTGTTAATTCATTCATGTTAACTTACGCTCTTTTCTACAGATGAGAGCTAATCTGTTAACTCATTTGACATTTGACATGATAATTATATGAGAGTTCTACCCACGTATCTGTAAACGTGTAAAATTATTCTGTACAAGTGTAAAAGTTTTCCAAAAGTGTGACCAGGGCACGCTCATTGCAATTTTTAATAAAACTGGTTAATTTTCTTTTTATAAACACGGTCACCTAAATATCTTTTTGACGCTTTTGCCGGCTATCTTTCAAGTTTTCCTTTATTCCCGTTAAGTGAGCGTGCGCAGCTGTTCATTTCTAGTGCGGAGTTGCAACTTGGTGCTTAAATAGACAAAAACAAGACGCGAAACCGACTGACAACTGCCAGTAAGTGCACGCTTAGACGGCTCCTAACTTAACATCCGTGAAAAAGGCCAAGTGGACGATGTCCAGCGAAGCAACTGGCGGGGTAACTATCAAGGAGGAAGCATCTACGAGTGGCGCAGCTAGCAACAATCCCGGAGAAGCTACCGGCGCAGAGGTTAGTTGTGCCTTTTTTTTGTGCGTGCTTGTGTGTGCTTGGAGAAGGGAGCAAAGAACAGAGAAATAACTGTTTTGCCTTCCTCTTTGGACTGGTTTCATTGACAGTTCATATAACGGTACATTACTACGTATATGTTTGCATGTATGTATACATATTTGGTTATTTCAATGTTAATGTAAAAAAGTTTTTCAAAAATTCGTCCGCAACATGTAATATTAATCTATACTGCAATTTAAATTATTAATTCGTATTAATCTTTAATGCACCCTTCATTTTTTCTGGTCCATTCGACCGATTTTTTGGCTTTATATTATTATTATACTTTTAAAGTCATCTCCCTTTTATGGATGTATGTACAATATGTATGTATGTATAAACCTACCGAAAAGTCCTCACTTAGCAACAGTCTGTCTCTTTTCTTCTATTCTATTATGCATTTCATCTTCAAATACACACACATACATACATACATATATATGTACGTACAAATGAAGAGCCTTAATTGCGCAATTTCTTTCTATTTTAGATTTCCTTTTAAATTTGTATAAAAAAAATATTTGTTCTATTGAGAACATTTATCCAGAAATGTTGAATTGTGTTTTTACCATCATCTTCTGTTTTGAAGATTTATCAAATGTTTACAATAAAACTTATAAACAAATGCTCTTCAAGCTGCTCTCCAATCAATAGTACATAAAGTTTCCGAACTTTTTCGTTGTTGTGAGCATTAATTATTATATTTTATTATTATTATTATTATTATTATTATTATTATTATTTTAAAAAGTAAGAATTATTGATAGAGCAGCTTCAAGCTTCAAATAAAATGCACAACAATGCACTTTAAATTTTAACAATATTCACAAGAGACTAAGTCACATATTGCCAATTGCTTCTCAAATGTTTACAATATAATGTTCCCATTCTCCATCTTCCAGGCAAAGAAACCGGAGAGCTCTGCTGACAAAGCAGAATTGCTGGGCGAGGTCGGGTTGGTGGAGGAGACGCCGGAGACCCATTCGAAGCGTCTGCAGAATCTGCGCAAGGAGTTGGCGTATCTCAGCGAAACGGACTGGATGTACGAGAGCCTCGACAAAAAGCCCGCCCAGTAGAGCCGCGTAATTGAAGCTGACAAGATCGAAAACCGAAGCCAAGACCAACAAACCAAACAAGACCAAAATGATATCGTTAATTCGCTCGTGGTTAGGGAACTCTGAACGTGACGATGAGATAAAGCGGGAGCTGATGGAGCGGGAGAATCAATTTCTGGATTTCCAGCTGAAGGAGGAGGAGAACAAACATCTCCGGGAGGGGAATCAGTCTAGTGACATGGGGTCCTTTATTTCAAGCCAGGTGGACATCAACCAAAACAAGGAAAGCATATGCTCATCGCGGAAGGGAGTTATCACTAGTCTGACCGATTCGAATGGAGCCATCGACAAGTTAATTTATTTTGATCGCAAAGCCGCTGGCGGTGTCTTTAATGAGCTGAGCATTGGCTGCGTGGTGGAATATCTGACTTTTCAAAAGAACCGCGATAATGTCCCCAGAGTCGTCAAGGTGCAGCGCATCGTTGAGGATGTCTGGGACGAGACGTCCGATGATAAGGTATTTAATATTATCTTATGTTACTATATGTCAAAACAATTGCTTCATACCCCGTCATCTCTTTCAGATCCAAAGAGCTTTGGAGAAACTAAAGATCGAGAACCCAACAATCTTTAAAACTCAGAATAGGAATGTAATGGGTCTAATTACCACTCGTCACCGATCCTCCATTGAAGTGGACACAGAGTATGGACAGTTTGAAGTAGAGCTTGACAACGTCGAAATCACCTTCGTGCCCCAGGAGGGCGATCGTGTGCGCCTCGTGTGCGATGTCCAACTTGACGATGATTTTGTGGACAAGCAGGGTGAGATTCTGCAGGTGTCTAAGGTATTTCCCCAGCGCATAGAGCCCGATCAAAAGTGCACCGTGGAACGCGTCTACGAGAATATGTCGGTGCTTGGTGAGAATATCTATGTCCTGAATTTGGACGTTCCGTCGGGCGTTACACTACATTTGGGCGACGTAGTTCGCGCGGATCTCATCGAGTGTCAGTATGTAAGTGGAACAAATGCAGTTAACACGAAATTTAATTAATTAAATGAAACTATTAATTTTTATTCCTAAAGTCTACATACACTAAGCGCGCTATTAAGCTGTCGATTAGGGAAATGAACTTTGGGGAATTGAAATTTAAGTCGTCCCTCACCTCGGGGACCTTGCACGAATGCCAATCGGTATCGGTGAAAGGCCAGACTCGTCACATTACCAAAGACCTCCATAAAAGGCATAGGATTTCGCTGAAAGTGCGCAACAATGTAAATCGCTCTTTATGCCTTAAGAGCGTGACTGTGCACAATGCGGATGTATCTCAGCTGAGTGTCGTGGAGCCTTTGGAGTCCGTCGACATTCCCGTCGGTGGGCAGATTCCGCTCGTATTGGAGGTGTACACGAAGTTTATGGGAGAAGCTTCCGAAAAATTTGATCTGGACTTTGGTAATTTCAAAATTAGGCGCTGTATTGTCATCATCGTGTGCGAAACGGAGGAGGAGGTCCTCACAGCGGAGAAGCGTATGATTGCCGCTGATATCTTAATACCTTCTGGACGTTCGGTAGTGCAGAGGGCCCGATCCTATGCGAACCAGGTTTGGTCCAACCAAAGGGAAGTGGTGCCAGGACAATCTGTAACCACCAAGCGTCGCTTTGTGGCCTTACGTCTGGGTTCATATGAGGTGAGCTTGGACTTGATCTTATTTTAGGTTTTTGCCTAATTTAAATTTACTTGAAGGTCCCAGAGAAATTGCGCCAGATTTACCTAACTACCGAGCGACAATTGAGCTTGTTCGAAGCCATCGAGATGCAGTATCCGTTTGCAAAGGATGCATTAAGCCCGAAGAACTATGTGCAGACTTTTAGTTTGTTCCTGCACCTTGAAGAGATTGAGTATTTTGTGCTGATAAGGAACTACGACAGGGATCGGGCACACTTCCAGCGAGATGGTGAATACCTCTCGCTGCTGATCGAGAATCTTGCCGAGCGACGTCCCTCGCTGGTCATTGGCGATATAGTCCGTGCCGTTAATCCCTGGGTGGACTCTACCAAGACGGAAACCAACAAGTCCTTCGAGGGCATCGTCCACCGGGTGCTTTGCAATCGTGTTCTGCTCAAATTCAATGCCAGCTTTCAGGCAAGGTACAACGGAGAGGACTACCGCCTGGAGTTTTACTTTTCGCGTTTCGGTTTTCGCAAGCAGCACTATGCCATCTCCAAAATATTATCCATTATGGGTGAGGAGTTCTTGTTTCCTACTAAGATAACCAAACGCAAGCATCCCCAGCTGGAGGTCAGGATGGAGGGCGAGGACGATATGTACCTTTACGATACAAAGCTGAAGTGGTTTAATCCTTCACTTAATCGCATACAAAAACAAGCTGTATTCAATATCTTACGTGGCGAGTCGCAGAATATGCCGTATGTTATCTTCGGGCCACCTGGCACTGGGAAAACCATTACCCTGGTGGAGGCTCTCCTGCAATTGGCAGAGAATATTCCAGGCGCCAGAATTCTGGTGGGAACGCCATCCAATAGCTCGGCGGATCTGATCACGAAGAGGATCATCGAAAGCAATGCCCTGCCCCAGGGTGATTTCGTTCGTCTCGTGTCGTTCAATCAGATCGAGAAGGACTTGATTCCGCCAGAGCTGATGAGCTACTGTGCCACGGTAGACATTGGATCAGTGGGCAGTTGCCCAGATAATGTATGTATCTCCTTTCCAAGGACAACCCTTAACTGAATATCTATTTAGGAGTAATCACTGGTATATTTCACACAGATGGTTATCACCGAATCGGGCTTGAAGCTGCGCTGCCAGATGAAATTCATTGGACGCCACCGGGTTACTATATCGACCAACGCTACTTTGGGGAACTTCATTCAAATGGATTTCCCAGCCGGCCACTTTACCCACGTGCTTATTGACGAGGCAGGCCAGTGCTCGGAGCCAGAGGTAATGGTACCTATTTCCATGCTCGTCAAGGACAAGAGTCAAGTGGTTTTAGCCGGGGATCCTCGCCAGCTACAGGCCATTGTGATCAACCGTTATTCGTCAATTAAAGAATACGCCAAGTCGTTTCTGGAGAGATTGTTGGAGCACCCACCGTATAGAAAGGACCTTCAGAGATTCCCCGATAACTGTGGATATAATCCAATATGCCTGACCAAGCTACTAAACAATTACCGAGCACTGCCAACGATAATGTGCACTTATAGCAAACTCTTTTACGACGACGAACTTATTTCAATGATTAGTGACACGGATTCGAGAGAGATTCGACTGCTGGAAAAGGCGAAAGTGCTTTTCGAGCCCATTAAGGATATACCAACAAAGCAGGCGGTCTTCTTCTATGGAATCGATGGCACGAACTTGCAGGAGAATGACTCGCCCTCCTGGTACAATCCGCTGGAGGCCAAGGAAATATTCTTTGCGACCACTCTCCTGTACCGCCTCAATATCCATGAGGATCAGATTGGGATACTTACGCCATATGCAAAGCAGGTGAAGACGATCAGGAGTCTATTCACTGGCACCGATGTGGTCATGCCAAAGATTGGCTCTGTGGAGGAATTCCAGGGTCAGGTAGGGAATACATTTTGCATTTCATTATGTTTTGTGTACATATTTCCCATATTTGCAGGAACGCGACATTATGCTCATTTCGACGGTGCGCTCTTCGCAGGCACTTATCCACTGTGACTCCCAGATGTCATTGGGATTCGTGAAATCCAACAAGCGAATGAATGTGGCCATATCCCGCGCCCGTGCCATGATGATCGTTTTCGGGAATCCTAATCTCCTTGCCTTGGACGATTCGTGGCGTCGTTTCATTGCCTATTGTGCCCACAACAATGCGCTTTTCGGCTGTGAGCTGCCCGATTCCATTGTTTATGGCGATGACGACAAAAAGGAAGCGAAAAAATACAATAAATAGTACTGAAATCCGTATTATACTTTCCAGAGAAGGATATCTCGGTGCTTTCTATTGTTATTTGCAAACAAATTAAATACATGATTGACCTTAATTTTGAGCATTGGGTTCGATATTATTTATAGAATAGTGTTTGAGGTACAATCTGATTTCTAAATAGTAGTAGTACCTACAACGTTGAGATGTATGCATGCTCAATAAAATGATATTCTATAAAAAAAATATTACATTTAAAAGAAAAATGTTGTAAATATCTGTAAGGGGAGCAGGGTATTATAATTTCAGTCAGAAGTTTGCAACGCAGTGAGGAAGTCATCTTCGACCATATAAAGTATATATATTCTTGACCAGCATCAACAGCCGAGTCGATCTAGCCATCTCCGTCAGTCCGTTTCTACGATAACGTCTCTCGGTTTTAAAGCTTTCTGAAGGAAACTTTGTAGTTAGTCTTTAATATACTCTTACTCGTATATATGTCGGATCGGACGACTATATCATATTGTACCATGATATCATATAGCTGCAATATGAACGATAGGAAAATTGTTAGAAAAAAATATAACTTTTCCAGTTTTTAACAGATGTTTATCAAATTTATTATATATAGTAAAAATATATTAATCAAGAACTTTGTGTATATTTTTTTAAAAATCAGACTATTTGATATCATATAGCTGCCATACAACAATAGTTAAAAATCTAGGAAAACGCAAAACTGTCAAATTCAAACTGTAAAAAAATATAATATAATATATTATTATATATAATATTATTCTATTATATTATATTATTTATTATTATATTATATTATATACAATATAGTATATATAGGTGAATGAAATGAAAGCAGGCATTACTTCATTGTTTTTTAACATAAATATATATATATTCTATAATGCATTAATTCCTAGTGATCAAATTTTAATCTGCAAGGGTATACAAGCTTCGGCGTGCGGAAGTTGCCTTAATTTTTTGTTAAACTTTAATTTGACAAAAATTATAAATATTTATAACTATCGATATAAAGATTATATAAATACTGAAATAACATTGAAAACCTTTTACATAGTAAAAGAGGGGAAACAAATAACTAAAAATCAAAATGTACACTATTTCATATGGTTTTAGACCTCAGCAATACGTTAAAATAATTAACGATACTTCTATAACTTTGAAAACAGCATCGATGATCGACACAAACCGTTAAAAATGATTATATCGATGTTAAAATCGAGTTTCTTCCACCACTAGGAGACTGGACCCCTTTTAAAGCTGTCGCCATCGACTTCCAGGAAGCACGCAACGAGGAATTAGTAGTTTCTTTTTCAAAATAACTACGGAAAACATGTCGAAGGCACACAAAAAAGGCAGGAATGACTGTAAATACCAGGAGAACTTGATAAAGCAGCTTATTGAATGCCAGATGGATATTGACAAGATCAACTTAATGACCAGCAAGGAGATGCTCGATGTGGAGGAGAAGTACGAAAAGCTGCGACAACCATTGTACAAAAAGCGAAACGAGGAGATCAAGCGGCTTCCCAACTTCTGGGCGACCTCACTTATTAACCACGACGAGATCATCAGACATACGGGAAAAGAGGGATTGCGCTCACTTGCGAACATTGAGGTGGAAAACTTGGGAAGCGTCAGTAAGGGATATCGGATCCACCTTCACTTTGACGACAATCCTTATTTCGAGAACAAGGTGCTCACCAAAGAGTTTCGATTTGGGAATAAAAAAGGAAATTGGATCACTTCCACTAGTACACCCATCAAATGGAAGGAGGGCAAGCAGCTGGCCAAGCAGGACCCCTCGATGTTGTACAATTCCTTCTTTGACTGGTTCTCGGATAACAACAATCCCAGCTTTGACCATATTGGAGATTACATAAGGGACGACCTTTGGATAAATCCACTTCGATATTATGTTATTGATCCTGAGCCTGGGGACGAATCTAAAAATTAGCCAACTACATTAACTACACTATGTAAATGTTTTCATTAAACAAATAAAGTGTATGTATGTATCTTATGTTACAATATTGATGACCCAGCGAGAATAAATGGAGGACCAATGCATTTGGCTTGAGCTTTTATTTTTTGGTTTACTGTTGCTAAGGTATTATTCTTGGAGAGTAAATAAGAGAGATGCCACAGGCTATATAACGTATTTACATATATGTACATACGTATGTATGTAGAATACATGTGTATGTGTGTTGTGAAATTTATATCTACAAAATATTCACAAGAAAATAGAGCGACAAGAGTAGAGGATTTGGGGAACTGATGTATATGAGCAAAACGTGCTTTTTTACATTATTTATCTATCTTTTTGTATATATTTCTATATACAAATCATAAATAACCATTTAGTAAATACGTTTTATGTATTTCCTTTTCATATATTTCTTATATGGGTCCGGCAGCACCATGAAAAGTAAATGGCAGACTTCTAGGAATGGTAGCACTGGAAAGAACCGTTATGGCTGCAGTTCTTTGACTTTTGTTTTCTTCGCTTATTCGTAATGAACTTCACAAGAGCGAAAAGTGCTAATGTTAGATATTAGGTGCCAATTACTTAAATAAAAGGTCGAAACTGACTTAAGTCATAAAGAAGCCATGGCCAATCCAAAACCTGAGGCGACCATCTTCGTGTTCAATGGCGATCATGAGAAAGACCGAAAGTACACCGAAATCGAGGTAAAGCAACTTGCCATAGCTAAATTTCGCTTAATTTAGTGATTTTATTTTATTGTAGCGCCTGGGAATGACGCACTGGCAGACGGATTATGCCAGTGACATCTTCAAGTCGATGAAGGAGCAGGAGCAGCGACGTCGCCCGCTCCAGTACATGTCGACGCAGTTGAACGAGCGCCAGGAGGCAATGCAATTGCTGCATGAAATCACTCGCACGTACAAGTTGAGTCGCTGCGCCTTCCATTTGGGTGAGCACCGTGGGGGGAAGGGAGTTGTGAAACTAGAAACATAAATATAGCGTTTTCCTCCCTTCAGCCATGTACTACCTGGATCGCTTTGCTGATCATTACAAAATCCGAGCCGACAAGTTTCCGCTGGTGAGCCTTATCTGTCTTCATATTGCCGCTCAGATCGAGAACACCGATGCCGTCATACCGCGCTACAGCGAAATGAATCGCTGGGTTAAGGATGCCTACACTGCCACCGAATACAAGGTGGCGGAGCGTAAGATCCTTTCCTTTTTCAACTTTGAGATGATACGTCCCACGACGGCCAGTTTCGTGGAGTTGTTCAGCTGCACCTTCCTTACACGCAACGATTTTGAGGACTATATCCGCATGTTGGATGGCTACGAGCAGGACCGCATTATTGTGGCGTACCAGCGATTTGGAAGCTTCGAGCAAATGCTAGACACACTTGCCCAGGTGCTGCTCCGCGTGGCCAATTGCACTTTGAGCAGTAAGTTTTGAGTCGTCTATAGTTGGCCATTTGGTAAACATTGTTTTTCCTTTTTCAGTTACCTCATTTGGCAATGTAGCCCCGTCCCTTGTGGCCGCCGCCTGCATTGCAGCCGTTCGTCAGGTGAACGGGGTCAAGCGCTGGTCGCAGTACCTCATGGATCTAACCAGTTACTCAGAGGCCCAAGTGGAGGTCTATTCGGAAACGATAACTACGCATTATTACTATCAGATCATTCCGCCGCCGGCACCAGTCACGGTGCCAGAGCCCGAGAATAAGGAGCCGCCTATTTATGAACATACCTCGGGTCAGAGCAACCAAAATTGGTCCAGTCCTGATTCCGGATTCGAAGAGCAGTTAACTGGAAGCACAGACTTTAAGGAATCTGAATTGGCTTCAGGCACAGACTTCGAAAAGCCTTCGACTTCATCTACAGACTTCGGAAATCTTTTGACTGCAACTGCAGATTTCGAGGAAGACTTTAATGCAACTGGAGGCTTTGGAAATCCTTCGACTGCAACTACAGACTTCGTAAAACCATTGGCTGGAGCCACAGACTTCAAGGAACTTGAACCTGTGACCAAAGACTTCAAGGAACCTTTCACTGTCACTACGGACTTTAAGGAACCTTTTACTGTAACGAAAGAATTTTTTGTCCTTGATAATGGCATAATCCAGGTGGTGGAAACGTATAACATTATCACCGTACAGCTCCAGGAACCAGTCCCCACTGCAGATACCTCACATAGTGATCCTGAGCCAACCCTCAAGCGTCGTCGCCAGGAAGATGACATAGAAAGTGACGCTCAGCCGTTCAAAAAACCAAAATTGGTGACCGAACTTAATGACTAAGACCAAAGAGCCGTTTGGTGGAAATTATAAAAGGTTTTCAGGCGCACAAGATATTGATTGATATTCGATATGCGGCCGCTCAATTGAGTTGAGCAGCTACCATTATCGTAAATCATATATTATTAAGTTATTCATATATAAAGACATATATATATGTATTTAATAAATAATTGAAATTACTTATTAACTTATGGATACAAAAATGTAGAAAAATACTCAACAAAAAGAAAAACGAACGCATTATCAACTAAAAACAATAAAGACATATTTATATATATTTTCCTAACAGAAAACAACATGGCCCATTTGCTTATAACTTATAACTTAAGTTTAAAGTCCGATCTTGGAATGCGAAACAAACAATTAAGGAACAATTGAAAGGATCTTTAAGGCTGTCATCTTATTTGTTATTTTTACACAGGTTTCTAAAAAATATAGGAGGGTTAATTTTCGGAATATTAAAAAAGCGAGATATATATTTTCGTGGGAGATGAAGTAGTTCACTTTAGGCAAAGGGAATTGATTTGAAACATGCTCATAAAAAGCTCTTAAAGATAGCTAAAGTTTTTTGTATTAAATAAATGCAAAAGCATTCAGCAATGTTGCCCAAAGTTTACTTCAACATCTCCATGCTGACTTGTCATCATCAGGGAATTATTTCAACCAGGATAGCACACACGCAAACAAGCACGCACTGCTTTTCGCTAATCCTTTGAAAAGATCTGTGTTGAAATAATTATAATTTAAAAATTTCAAACTAACTAACTTAAACCTGCTTGGCTATCCCAGTGTCGTAAGTAGAGTTATGTTTGGGGGGTTAAGTAGAAGGAAGGAGTCGTTGGAATTTACAACATTTACAGGACAACGGCGTCCAGGTGGCTGGACATCTGTACAAGTGGCTGGCAGCACTGCAGCCGCTTTCATCGCTGCATATCCCGCCTTTTCAGCACATCGAAAATCACATCGGAGGCATTTTGTTTGCTGTTGCTGGGATCATTGCCCGATTCGTCCTCCGAATCGGTCTGCTCCAGCAACGGCACCGTAAGCGTCGAGTGCGACTTGCTGACATGGACACCGACGGCGGCACCGCCAGCAGCCACATCGCCGCTCGCGTTGAATTTGTATTCGCTGGAGGATTCCTCGTTGTCGTTGTCAAACGCCAAGGCCTTTTGCTGTTTCTGCGCCTCCTTCATGCTGGAGTACTTGTGCAGCAGGTGGCACATGATGCCCGCCAGGCAGACCACCAGCCCGATCACATTGATCAGACTCAGTTTATCCTTTTTCAGAGTTACGGCCAAGGCCAGCTGACAGATGTCCTTGAAGATACCGGCTATCGAGAGGGTAAGGCTGGAGGTCTTGCACAGCACCAGAAACTCGCTGAACTCCATGAGAAAGGCCAGCAGAGCACCAAACGTGATCCTGGCAATAGCCCAGGTGATCTCATTCGAGGTGTAATTGTGCATATCCTCTAGAACCTTCACCAGCTTGACACCTGTTAGGATGGTAGAGTGTTAGGTTTTTGAATTAAATTCTAAATACATTATAACCAACCTTCGATTCCTAGAACCAGCGGCACCAGCGAGGCAATCATCCACGGCTGCATGTAGTAGATCATGTCGATGGGATTGTGCAATCCTAACTTAGATTTCTGCATAATGAACTGGGCGAAACTCCAGCGCAGGCCGCTGCTCAGCGATGCGAAGAGGATGAAGAAGAAGCCCAGGGCGTTGAACTGCGTGGACTTGTAGGTGAACATCACCAGGCCAGTGCCTATCAGGCCCACAATCGAAACCAGATACCAGCTCTGAAAGCAAATAAGGAGATTAATGCACAATCTATATGGAGGCTTTACTGGGAGAATCCCCTTTTTTCCTAGACTAAAAATGTTTTCAACAAATTGATTCAAATGCTTTTGTATATTTTATCTTTTCTTTGTCGTTTTCTTATCGCAGAAAGACTCATAACTCATTTTTTTAAATCACTTTTTTAATTCAATAATAGATACTGAAGATACTTAAATTGCGATGTTTCTGATACCAACAAATTACAGATTAAATTTTTAATTTAAATTCGATTTTCTAAAATTTAAAAATAAGGCAAAGGCCCTAAAATAAATTTGTGATAGCCTTGGCACTTTAAAATCACAAAGAATTCGGCATTCTCCCAACCACTCACCTTCTTCTCCAGTCCCAGGGCAATGGCAAACAGCAGGATAAACACAATGGTCGAGGACTTGGTCATAGTGTACAGCGAGATGGGCACCAGAGCTAGCCCCCAGTTGGAGAAGCCAATATCTATGGCACTGGCCACACCAGTCGGAGCCATCTTGCGCAGCGCCACTCGCCAGTCCAGTTGGACACGGGACCTGCCCACACGCAGCTTGTATATCCGACGGGCCAAAGCTGCAAGCAGGAATTTCAACACCAGATGGTACGTGACAATGGCCAGGGGGAAGGGCATCTGCCGGTTGATGTCCGTCTGGTAGAAGGTCAGCGAGATGGACAAGGTGAGATAGAGCAGGATAATGGCCAGCGTGCCCACGGCCATTTGCATCATCATATTCTCCTGTCGTGCCAGCGTGGTATCGCCGCCCTCCACTCCTGCTGATGAATCCGCCTTGCTGACGGCGTATTTAAAGTTGCTCTGCCGTTGCGTCCGATGCGTCTGGTTGCCATTGTTTGGCCCTATCTTGTGCTGGCCCAAATCGAGCTCGATCTCCTCGTCTTCCGAGGTGGCGCTGTTACCATGATGATGGTTTCCCGCCGCTGCTCCGCTGACGCCGCCGCTATTGTCGCCGTCGTTGGCACTCAGGCGCTCGTACTTTGCCGCCACCATTATCGGTTGGTATCGTGTCACCTGGAGTATGGAGAGAGAAAAGCAACAACACGTATGTATGAAAATATTGCTACGCAACAGCCAGGCCAGTCAGCGGCGCAACAACAATTTTAACACGTTACTTCTTTCGTTATCTCGGAGTTTACGTTTCGCGGCCGACATCCATATGTTGTCGTTTTCCGCCCTGCTCCCACCCCTTATCTCCTGCTATTTCTTGATATCTGCGTTGTCTGATTCGTTGGCGTTTGTTTAATATTGGAAATGGGTTTTTACGCTTTCCATTTTACCAAAAAAAAACTTTTGTTTTCTTCTTTATCCAACTGTTTATACACAACCAGTGCAGATTTCTTGGTTAGTTTCTGGCTAGTTTTGGCTTGCGGGGGAGGCAGAGCACAGCTCAGATGGCAGGTGGGTCATCGCCAGCTGGCTGTTATCGATATATCGATAGGCATTGCGCTATTTGCTTTTAATTCGTTTTAAATTTTAAATAAATTACATTTTTAATGACTAAATGCCGCAAAGTAAAGTTTGTAGGAGTTTAATGGTTTTGTATTACAAATAACTTTTTTTATTTTGGTATTCCTTGGCTTTTATTTTCACATTTTTATATTAAGCAGTTTCTCCTTAGGAACCACGCCTTAAATAGGCCTTCCACCTTTAAAAGTGTCTCGAGTAAAACATTGGTTTGCAATTAGTCGAAGTGCTTTTAAATAAATGCATTTTGTGTGCCGGTTTTCAAATAAGATTGTTTGAACATTGTAATTGATAAATATGTGATACAACTGAACGATGCGACATAACATCCTTGATCTTCTCCTATATTGTAAGCTTTACGTCTAGGCAGTATTCATGTGCTGTAGAACCACTGGAGCTGTTGGAAATAAAAACATTAATAAATAGAACATTTTACATAAGCCATTTAAATACCCAATCTGATGACGGCGATGAGCGTGCCGAAAAGGATGAAATTGAAGCGAACTTCGGCTGCCACGCGCTTCTTCTCCTCGGCGGGATCGGGCTGTGATTGTTGCAGGCGGAACATGTTTGTATTTTAGTAATATTTCTATTTATTTACAAAAAAACGTGCTGTTTTTCGCTTATTTTGATAAAAGGTGTGACCGCAGACAAATTGTAGAAATATACCTTCATAATATACTAAAACAATATAACAATTTTTTTACGCCTTTCTGTCTGGATGAGAGCAGATCTGTTAATTAATTTTACTTCCTACATGAAGTTTCGTAAACGTATAAAATACTTCTGTAAGAGTGTACAGTGTAGATTAACAAATATGTTCGAAAACATCGATAGTGCAGAAAATGATGATGATGTTTTGAAAACAAGTTACGATCTCCTCTGTGGACGAGAGTCTATATGCTAGGAATTTTACTTCCCATATGAGAGTTCTACCCCATGTATGAGAATTAAACCCAATGAATCTATAAATGTGTAAAATTGTTATTTAGACATGTAAGGTGTAAAATGTTAGATAACAGCAAATATCGCAATATCGATAGTTGTGCAAAGAAAATTTCACGATACAAATATATCCTTTTGAGAAAAAATATCGATATATTAATGTAGTTTCACCCTTCTGCTCGCCAAAAAGGACTTTTTTAGTTGATTTTAGCTTTTAGCAGCAGCAAGCAGCAACTCGTCGGATTCGTTGCTCGCCCAAAAGCCGCGACTATTCCCCCATCAAGCTCGTACAATTAAAATCGAAGCAGGATACCAAAAACATACAATCATACAAAATGCGGTGCGGTTTAAGTAAATAAACAGTCAAACGTTTGTTAAAAACAACAAGTGCATCGAGCACAGCACACCCCGAGTGAAGCAGAGATTCTGTGGAGTGATTTAATCAAAGAAAACACACAGCAAAATGTCGACCATTGTGGAACAGGTGAGAGGAGCAGTGAATAAGTAATAGTAATCAAAAATAGCCAAGGCTATCGTTATATTCGGTTGTTGTTGTAATTTCTTGAGATTATATAAACGAAAGCAGCTTATCAGCCATTAGGCGAAATGTTACGGTATTTTGCTTACAAGACCGCCGACTGCGTAACATTCAGTGTCAGTGTCTGTCAGTCGCCGTCTATGGGTGTGTGTGTGAGTGGGTGAGTGAGTGTGTGTATTAGGGTGGCTTTAATTTCGTAAAGGACGAAAAATAAACATATAAACAATTAAGAGGGCATTACATCTTGATCAAGATGACCTTACATTTGCTATTTAAAATATTTAATATTATTAGGGGAATTATTTTTTTAATACAAAATAAAATACAACAAATATTTCCTTTTTTAACTTATTGAATGGTTATAAAAATATAAATAACAACAAACATACATAAATATATCTATATATAAAATTATTAACTTAAAGAAGCTATTTTAACTCGTAGTTCTACTAACTTTAATTTATTATGGTACCCTAAAGGTTATCATTACTTTTACATATCCCAGATTTTAAAAAATTTTGAAATGATGTAGTATTTTGACTTTTTAACTGAATATTTTTTTTACGTATGTCCTAATCATGGCTAGTAAAAGGTAAAAACACCATATTTAGTTATTTTTAAAGAAATTCATTTATATGTTTTATAAATTAAGTCTCAGCTAAGGCTTTCCCCAAATCAATATCGATACACCTTACCAAAGGATACTCCCGCCTATGTCTTGCGTATGTGTGTGTGTGCCTGTCTGTGTTTGGTTGTTTTTGCATTTCCATGGCAACGTAACGGCAACTTCCTGACGCCCGCCGCTTTCGATTTGACAGTAAAATTCGATTAATTTCTAATCGGCAGAAATCAGTGTGACAAGTGCAGACGACGACGACAGCGATTCCTCTCCTTCCTCACACTATACATACTCGCATACACGTGCACCCTTGGACAAATATAAATAGCTGCCATTTTGCAAAGCAATTTCAATTCCCAATTCACATACACCAGCGAGGCTATACTCGTATATGGCCAACACAAACACACGGGCGCGATGTAGCATGCAAATTTGGTTTGCTTTTGCTTTTCCTCGTGGCCTGTGTGTGTGTGTGTGTGTGTGCAGCGGCGAGAGTATTGGCGAAAGTGTGCCAGTGTTGGTCTGTGATTTTGACATTTTGTTGCACAAAATCCTTCATATCCTTCGGATGGTGACGAGAGTGGAGGCGAGAGGGCGCCTTGGGCAAATTTCAAGTGCAGCGCTCTGCCTGTCACACTCCGCAATCGACTCGACTTGACGTCATAAATGCAAAATGAAGCGCTCGCTATCTCACGTACAGTGAAGCCCCAAAGCAAGTGCTACAATGTGAGTTTAACAACATTTTAGAGGTCACAAAATTGCCAACAGGGACGAATAAATCCAAAGGGGTGTCAGAGAAAACTCTGGTAACAGAAATCAAATTAAAACAGGATGCTGTGACTAAAGAAGGGCCAAAAAATGTCCTGGCACTCCTTTTAAATGATTTAAATTCTCATATATTTTTTATTAATAACTAAATATTCTAGTATCTAAGCAAAATATTAAATTGCCTCCTTAAACTACAGCATAATAATTTAATATATAAATAAAAATCTACATCAACTCAATTAAGATATTCAAATGTTTAAATGAATTTCCAAAAAAATCAATATCTCTAAATTTAACCATCAATCTAGCAATTATTTTCGTTTTCACTTTATTTTTTTGTGCAAATAAATATCAACATGCCTCTAATTTAATCGAAAAACAATTTTGTTTGTGACCCTTTGGCCAACATTTTATTGTTATATTGTTGACATTCGTTTAACCCGAATAATACAAAAGAAATCTATTTTATTATTTTTCTATTGGTTGCAAAAAATGTCTGAGTTTTTGCAATTGATATTTCTTTTAGAGAACTCTCTGTGGCGTGCATTCTTTTTACTTTTGTTCCATTAATTAAATACCAATACAATTCCATTAAATTCCTGGATAATGGACTTTAAGCTTTATAACAAAGGAATTACTTGAAAGATTACTAAAAAGAAATGCTTATTAAGGCTAAAAAATAATCCTGTTATTCCAATTGAACTGCTGCAAGTAATTTGACCTTTTAAAATCACTCTGATCTGATTATTCACGTTAAGGGCAAAGGAATTGAAGGTACTTTACAAAATTACCCCCCTTCACCCACATAACCTAAGCTGATTTAAAGATTTCCATGCTCTGGGTCCCTGGGCTCAGTGCAACTTTTCCAATTTTCATTTAATTCCTGCGCCAAATCTGTCTCGTTTCATGCCATTGGTGGCTTTAATCAATTCCCCCTGCTCCCACCTCCCCAGATGGGTCTGGGCCACTGTGTGTAAAACTTAATATTTTCCTTCTGCTGGAATTTTCCGTGTTCCTGTACGAGTCCTTCGCTGACGCTGACGCTGACGCTGCCGTGTATTTTCTTCATTTTCTTCTCTTGTCAAGTCAAAGTCAGTGGAACTTTTTGTTGCATACTTTTCAGGGCGCACATGTAGCGCGAGTCATTACGTTTTATAGACTTTATAAGAAGTTTCGTTTATGCAGTTTGCTCAAAAGTTTCACCTAGGTAAAATGCACGTGTGCGTTGGCTTTGTTCCTCTCGAAATTGTGGCAGAAAGATATACACCGAAGAAGTATCTCTTCGTCTTTTATAGCCATCGCCATTAAAGTATTTTTTTGGTTGATGGATGTTAAGTTTTGTGGAAATCGGAAAGATTTTCTCACAACATGGCAAATGCTGAAGTCATAAAATTAATTTCCCAAAAACACAAGGATAAATCTTGACAAACTGGGGATAAGTAGTTGAAGTTTCTGTGTAGAAAGTTTAAAGGATTCTTAGCATGATTTTTGTTCCTAAATTCGAATATCTCTTGATTTAAACAAAATAGAGTAGTCAGGGGAAATCTCTTTACCTGCAGAAACAAGTCGTAATAAATCTAATACCCTAAAACATCTGTAATTTATGGCTATATCTTATCTTGGCTTACTTTTCTTTATATATTGTTGGGCATATGCCTGAACCTGAAGTTCTCACGGAACCTCAAGTTATAATAAAATATTTCAATGCTTGTGATGCTTTAATTTATGCGGCCATAAAGGCCAAGCGCCTGATATCCACAGACATATACATATATATACATAAATACATACAAGTAGCTACACCATCAAGTGCAACACATAGGCTAACTAGGCGCCACGCCTCCCTTTTCGACCCCGTATTTGTAGCCCCCTTTCCGGGGGTCTTCATTTTTTTTTTTTTCGTTTCTCCCCTTAGTTTGCTACGTGAAAGAGGCTTCTTCCAACCATTTTCCTCCACCATTTTGAGTACCCATTACGCGTAGAGTTCAAGGGTGTATCAAGAAAGGGTTTGACAGCATCCTGTAGGAAGGATATGTATCAATTTGTAGGAATTAACTTGGAAATGAATCCATCAAGGATAAAAACTAATGTTAAAGATATCGTACTTGATTCAAAATCAATTTAATATATTTTTTTTAAAGAATCCACAGTTTCTTTAAAGATTCCTCTAAATTTGTATATCTCAATATCTAATACTCTTTAAATTTTAAGCTTTATTTTAACATCTATAGGGTATCCTATAGTCGAATCCCTCCCTAAAAGGTTTGTTTTTGGTTTTTTTCTTTGTGTGTGTGTGTGTGCGCCATTTTGTCAGAGCATAAATTACAACTTCAGGTGTAGCTGCTGGCGACGAGGGGTAAAGGTGCAAACGGAGGGGGAAGGGGATGGATGGATGGATACCGCTACCGTCTGTTGCCGCTGCTGTCACTGTCGCCGGTTGCTGCTGTTGCTGCTGCTACCATTGTTGTTGTTATTGTTGCTTACATAATGTTAATGATGCTGCCCCAGCCGGCAAACGGAAAATGGGGGAAAAGCGGGCGAGACAGGGTGGTGAGGGGCTGGCAGGAAACTCGTTTCAGGCTCTTTGCCAAAACAAAAGTCAAAAGATGAGGCAGAACTGTCGCTGTGACCTCCGTGTGTACAATGGCCTGTACCCCTCTTCCCAGTCTAGTTAACAGGATCTGCATCCGCCGGCTGGTTGATGTCCTGTGTCACAGTTGTTTTTCCATACTCTTTTTTTTAATGAAGGGTTATCCTGACAAGGATAAAAACTTTTAAAGAATATTATAAATAAACTAACCTAATTGTTAAGTGTCAAATGCATATATTTTTTAATGCAAGCTTTTAAATTTTTAATGGTTTAAAACATAAAACCATATTAGTGTCCAAGTTTTTATTAGTATTTCTTTCCTCTCGGAAATATTCAGCTTGATGTGTGCTTCCAGGCTCCAGGGGGGAAGGATAACTATAATATATGTGCATAAATTCTATGTTCCCGGCGACACAACACCACATCCTGTAGCCTTTTAGCCCCATATCCTGGGTTATAAGTGTATATAAAATGTGCTGACTCATGGATTTTTCATATCTCACTACTCCCCTTTTTCCATTTCCTTTTCATATTTGCTGTCCCCGGCATATTATTTCAATTTGGCGGTGCAATAAAAGAGTTTTCCCCACCGCTTCTGAGTCACATGGCGTATGCGTAATGCAAGAGAGAAAGGAGCAGGGCGGCAGCAGCTTCCCCAAGGATAATGCAGCTCGTTATGCTTATTTGCCCGCCCACAAACACACTCATGTGTGTGATGTATGTGTGTTGGAAAAGGAAATTGCCCCCGAGGTCCTGACATGCACACACACTCACACAAAGTGTATGTATGATGTGGGAAAAAGGGACTCTTTGCTAAGCGAAGGGGTGCGGGGCATGGCTGCAGGGTTCATGGCCCCTGAACTGACCGCCAATGGACTGCTTGCCATAAAATTGCTTGCCCTTTATGCATCCTTGATATGTGTTCATCTTCACCGGGCACTCAAGGTCAAAGCCTAGATGTTTTGATTT